CTGATCTTGCACCAGTTTTTCCATCCTGAGCTGCAGAGCTTTCAACACTTGAAAATAAATCCTTGCTCTCAAATGGTAGGTAGACCTTACCTGGGAGGTAGACCTTACACACAGTTTAACCCTCACTTTTTACTGGATTCAAAATCTACCTTTCCCTCTCACACCACAGGTAGCTACTGGCTGTGGTGGGGCACTGGGAGGATCTCATGCAACGTAAACCCATGGATTTATATTCCCAGGTTCATAGGAGAAATTTTCCCTTGTGTTACAGAACTGGCCAGATACGTTAAGGAGTTTCACTTTGTTCTGCCATTTATTAGTAGAGGCCGGGCTGATCCTAGACCTCATCTGGAAAGGGGAGCACCACGTCCCTCTTCTCTTGCCTCTAATCAGACTGGTTTGCGCTAGGGCAGCTGACCATGAATTTTCAGCCCAGGGACACTGTTGCACTGAAGGGCCTAAAATACCTGGGCTTGACGAACCTCTTTTTTTTTTAAGGATATTACTCAGGCACACAGACAACAAGGGAAGAATGGCAGGGGACCCAGGACTGAGTGAGTTTCAGCAAGGGAGAGGGTAAGGGAGATGCTGCTCTGCCATCGCAGGCAGCCTGCTACGGTAGCGAGACAATCTCAGTTGCTGGAGAGAGCTTCTCCCATGCAAAAGGAAAGCCCCTAACCCCAATGCTCGTTATTCTTGGTTTCATGGTTCCTAGAGACAGAAGGCTGGCCCACTGGAAGGTGAAACTAACCCAATGTTTAGGAGATTCAGTGACAAGAGGGAAGAAGGTCTGAGAACTGGTGGTATGAGACAGGATGAACTACGGCAGGGGAGCTTTGGAGGAGAAGAAAAGCAGAACAGGTATTTCTCAGCTTCACTGCTTTGGTCTCATCCTCTTCTGCCCCTTCTTTGTTAAAGCTGAGACCTTTCAGGACAAGGAGTTGGGTTGGTTTTTTTTTCTGATTTGTCTGTTAGATGCTTATTATGAAGTCTTGTGCCCGGCTGTTTCATCTGCTTCTTCGCTGTGCTCACTTCCCGGGGCTCTTGTGAACATTGCCACAGTGCAGGGACAGCTACTGTTAGCTGTGGGACTGCCTGCTGCAACCTCTGGCATTGCCCTGTACGGAGGCTTTTCCCCACTTCAAGCTGCAGTTGCTTTTCGGTAGTCAGTGGCGCGGAGTGGAATCATAGGAGAAAGGGAAGCAAAGGAGAAGAGCCCTTTAACCTGAGCTGTGAAGCAGCCTGTTCTCATGCTGCCTCTGCCCTGGGTTGTCTTACGACAATCCCTCCCCAACCCTTTTCCACCCTAGCCAGAAAGCAGCAGGCAGTTGCATCTCCAAAGATTGCTTTGACTGTTTTCCTGACAGACTAACCCAGCAGCCCCCAGCTTTCCCACCCCGACCTGAGAGGCTGGCACTGCCATCCTTGGAGCTGTTGCCATACACAAAGGACAGCAGCTGCTGTCGTTCCCAGAGGGGCTCGGTTGTTCCTAGACCATGTCCTCACCAGGTAGCACCCAGCAGTGCAGGTGGCAGGACCTGCCAGGACTGCTTCATGGTGGTCTTCACCTTCATTCCCTTTCTAAACTGGAAAGGGACCCTGGGCTGCGCGGCAATCTGGTGACAGTTCCCAGTGCGTCTGGGTGAGGGCAGCTGAAGACCCGGTGTGCTGTCCTGCTGTAATATCAGCTTAAGGATGGCATCGCTATGATGATAGCTGGTGTGCACCCTCAGCTTTTGAGAGCGTCAGTCAGTCCTGCAGGCGGGGCTTTTGTCCTAGGAAGGAAGTTTTTCCTATCATATCACTTTCTTCTCAGTCTGCTGTTTGTAGTTATGTTTGGTAAAGTCCTTAAATACGTGCTTAAATTTACTCATGTGCTGTCAGGTTGTCAGGCTGATTTCCTAAGGATATGAGCCCCCCCACCAGGTCTGTCTGTCAGCCACCTCCCCTAACAATTTTTTTAGCTGCTTGCCCTTTTCATCCAAATTTTCCATAACCACGTAGCTCAGATCTTTGCATAGTTCCATACCTGCCTGCGTTTTGAATGAAGGCTCCCTATTATTCCTAATGGTGGAGACCAGGACCATTTTACAGAAGTGGGGGCTAAGGATATGATGTTTTCCAGGCTGTGGAAGCAGCACCGTCTTGTTGTGAGACAGCAGGTAAATTCTCAGTACAGCAAGATGGAAAAACACAAGGGGCTCCAGAAAGGCACCTTTACCACAGGCTGCACCCTACAGCAGGAACCCCACCACACTGGCAGGCAGGGAAAACCGAGGGATGGAGCATTTGCCTCTTATATACCTTGTTTCAGGCATAAGGGACCTTCAGACCTCAGAGCTCTGAACCTTCTACTAAAATTAGATACATAAAGCCTTCCTGGGTGAACTTTTCTCAGGTTTGGCTGGAAGGAGAGGCTCCATCACGGCTCCTGTGCCTACCCAGCAGCTCACTCCTCCAAGTACTTGCTCGGATTACAGGAGAGCTGGGTTCAGCCGAGGGAGCCGCTGCAGCCATTTGTTTCCCTCTCCCTGGCCCGGGGAAACTGTGGTGAAGTCCCACAGCTGGATGAGCTCTGGCAGGGGAGATTGAAAGTGGCCCTCCACCATACGTGATGGCTCGAGGTGAGGGAGGCGTGTTCCATCACAAGAGGCAGCAGATTAAAACCTGCTTTGCCCACTCCTTTCAGGAGTGCTCCCATGGTTGGGTCAGTTCAGAAACTGGGACCACCAGCACCTTGCTGGGCTGTGTCGTATGCAGGATACAGTCTCTCAGTTTTGGGCCTCTCGCTACTGGAAGGACGTTGAGTTGCTAGAACATGTCCAGAGGAGAGCAACAAAGCTGGTGAGGGGTCTGGAGCACAAGGCTGATGAGGAGCGGGTGGGGGGCCTGGGGTTATTTAGCCTGGAGAAGAGGAGGCTGAGGGGAGACCTGATCGCCCTCTACAACTGCCTGACAGGAGGCTGTAGCGAGGTGGGGGGCGGCCTCTTCTCCCTGGTAATGGGGGATAGGATGAGGGGGAATGGCCTCAAGTTATGCCAGGGGAAGTTTAGGTTGGACATTAGGAAAAATTTTTTCAATGAAAGGGTTGTTAAGCGTTGGAATGGGCTGCCCAGGGAAGTGGTTGAGTCCCCATCCCTGGAGGTATTTAAAAGATGGGCAAATGAGGTGCTTAGGGACATGGTTTAGTGGTGGGATGGCAGGGTTAGGTTAACGGTTGGACTTGGTGATCTTAAAGGTCTTTTCCAACCTAAACAATTCTGTGATTCTATGATTCTTTCCTTCTGAGACCTTCTCCTCATTTAATTCCCTCAGGTGACAGAGGCAAAGGAGTGCTCAGTCTGCAAGATCGCGCTTGCACTTGGGCTGTCACAGTCCGGGGGGGGCGGGGGGCAGACGACTGTGACACTTCAAGACATGCACTGAATCAGCGTTGCAAGCACTTGGGAAATTTTGAGGTCAAAGCCAACAAGTGCAGGTTGCTGCACGGCACAGTTAGCAGGTAGCTGGGCATTAGTGGACCGGAGCGCTACAATTATGTAAAGTCTGCTGCGGATCTCATCCTCAATCTCTTGCCCAAGGTCACATAAGAAGTCCATGGCAGAGAGGCAATTGGAAACCAAATCACCAGAGTCCTAAGCTAATGGACTCACTGCTGAATCAAAAAGCCTGCAAAATAAAAGCCTTAAGCCAGATTGTATTGCAGCCTTCGTACCCTTGATAGGGCTGATTCTTAACACGGGTATAGGTGTCATGGGGACTAATACTGACAGTACACAACACATACCTGCTTCTGTCAGGTTTCTATAAATATGTATCTAGCGACCACTTGCCATCTATTGAGGACGAAATAGCTATTCTATTAAATAACAGTGCAATTATACTACCAACCATAAACATTTCAACTGGTGTTCCAGCGTTATTTTTTCTTTTCTTTGCCAAAGGTTATTGGATTGCTCACCTGGAGCAAGTAACTCTTTCCTGACAGGTGAGTAAAATCTGGTTAGTTTTTGGATCTTTCTTGTTGTCAGGCTGGCTGAGGAAGGCAGCAGACTTTGAACTTGACATTAGACTTCTGCAGGTCCTCAGCAAGTGTATTTTCTAATTCACATTTGCTATCTTCCTAGGGTTGCAATGCATTTTCTCTCTGGATCTGACAAATAAAGCTGGTGTGGGTTTTGTGCAATTCTCATTTTCTTTCCAAATGCGTCTTTTAGTTAAGAGGGAATATTTGTAAGCCCCTGGTAGGAAAAGAACACCTAACGATCCAGGCTTGCCACTGTACGATTCCCTAGATTACAGCTACACCACAAGAAAGAATGCTATGAATCTCCTTTGTAATTTTTACCATGATTTATTTTACTGAGGATTAATTAATCATTCTTTCACCAAAGAATTAACAGCACTCTTTTTCCAGCACAGATGTGAATTGTTTCATTAACAAGCATCTACAGACTGATTCCAAGCAGGCAACCAAGTGTCAGAAAAAGCAAAAGTGATTTAATTCTACACCTACAGGGAGCTTTTGAGATGGGGAGCTAGGACGCCCGTTTGCAGCACAGTTTGGTAAGGCTTCTTGGCTGACCGCTCCTAGAAAATGGGACTGCATCCAGAATACAAGGGGGGTACTGGCTTGCACAGAATGAGAAAGTATCTAAAAGTTTCAAGCTACGAAGTCAGATCTGTGCTGAGATTTGGGAAAGCTCAGCTGAGCTGAGTTCACATTGCTGGCGTTTGCGAGGTTATTCGCTATCGCCCGGGT